TTTATTGGTCTTTTATTTTTCTAATTTTATTATTCATTTGCCTATTTAATCTTATTTAAATGTTTTGAATAATTCCATTTAAATGTTTTAAAAAAATGCCATTAAAAAAAACGTGAACTCGGATATGAACTTATAAAAAATAAACAAGTTTAGTTAATTTCAAATAAAATAAGTTTAGAAAAAAAAATTGTTGTATTTTAACTTATCTAAACTGAACCTATTTTATCCGAATTTATATGAACTTATTGTATTTTATCTAAACATGTCATCTCGAATATGAACTTATCTGAAATTGTTATCCCTAAAATGAGTGAAATAAATGTGAATAGATTAGAATAGGGTTTGAACTTATCTTCTAAAAATCTAAACTAAACCTATCTTATCTAAACTTATTAGAACTTATTATCTTGAATTTAAACTTACCTGAAATTATTTCTCTTACAATAAATGAAGTAATTGATAATGAGTAAACATGAATGTCATTACATGAACTATTAACAAACCGACCCAAAAAATGTACCCGATACCCAGATTAACCCAATATTTGAGGCTCGAACCCGAACATGATCTGACTTGGAAATAATCTGACTTGAACCAAACCCGACTTGAACACGAACATGACCCGACTTGTAAATGACCCGACTTGATTGTAACCCGCAAATAATTGACTTGAACCGAACCCGACTTGAACCCGAGAATGACCAACCTGATTATAACCCACAAATATTGACTTGAACCGAACCCGACTCAAACCCGAGAATGACCCGACCTGATTATAACCCGCAAATTATTGACTTGAACCGAACCCCCAACTCGAACCCGAGAATGACCCTAACCCGTTTTAACCCGAATTAAACCCGACATATTATTCACCCGACCCGAATGTAACCCGACCTGTTATTAACCCGACCTAAATCCGACCCAAACCCGAAAAGATGTATGACCCGACGTTACTCGACTTAAGCATGACCCAACCCGAACCCGACCAATATAGGTTACAACATTAACCCGAAATGACCTCACCCGAGTTGACCCGACCTACACTTACCCGACCCAAACCCGACCCGTTTACCCGAATTGACAGGTCTAATAATATATTAGATTAGATTAGATTAGATTATTATTATTATTGATATTTAAAACATGTTTACTTAAAACCTTTATAAATTCCACTTGTCTCATAATTAGACGATCATATAAAGACCCGCCCATTTATTTATGAGACGGATCTAACCCATATTATAACTATGGCGGGTCATGGCTTTTAAAGGCCTCATCCCTATTTCTAAACCTGGGCACGGGCCGGGTTGGCCCGCGTGCCGCCCGGCACGGCCCGCCGTTCGGCGCAGCCCGGCACGGCCCGAATTCAAGCACGGCACGGCACGAAGTTCAACTCCCGTGCCACGGACAGGGTTGAGAATTCCCAGGCACGGCCCGGCACGAGCACGGGCATGGCCCGCCGTGCTGGCCCGTCGTGCCGGCCCGCAGGCACGGCCCGCGGGCCAACGGTAATGTTACCGTTTATTCTAGCTCCTTAATAAGCCAAAAAAAACGGCTAAAAAACGGCTAGTTTTTTGCCAATTTGCTCCCCAAAAATTCTATAAATACTCACCTCCATTTCATTCCCAAATCACAAAATCACAATCTCTTCTTCTTATCTCTTATATTCTCTAAATCTCTAATAATCCTTATTTTCTTAAATTCTCTAATTATTCTCTTAAATTCTCTAATTATTTTCCTAATATCGGAAAAAATTAAAAAGTTCGTAACCGTAATTAGTGGAGCGTTGAAGCACGGTTGTAAGATCTAAACTAATCTTAAATTTATTATTGTTTTATTGTTATTATTAGAATAATCTTGTTTAATTATTATTGTTGTTGTTGTTGTTATAATTGTTGTTATTAATTATTATTATTGTTACAATTGTTGTTATTATTTATTTTTGTTGTTATTGTTATTGTTATAGTTGTTGTTATTAATTAATATTATTGATATTTTTATTGTTAAAATTGTTGTTATTAATTATTATTATTATAGTTAACCACTTTTTATTAAAAAATTAATTGTTAATTATGGCATCGAACAACCCATCATCTAGGTCTAGGGGGAAAGGCCGACTTATCCGTAGTAGTAGTTCTAGGGAACCACCAAATACAACGAGCCCCCAAATTACGAGTCAAACCAATGACCCCATTTACTTCCCCCCGGGCTATGAGCCATATAATACGTCGGGATTTCCAGCACCACCACTAAACCAATTTCCACTACCACCATACCAATTTCCACCTAATTATATCGGTGATCAACAAAACTATTGTTCTAGCCAAGGTAGCCAAGAAAGTACCCGAATTCCCTCCGGTTCTACCCCTTCTACTGCCACTCCCACTAGTCCCACTACTAACCATCACACACATCATGAATGGTTAACCGAAACTGAGATGCTACTTTTGAAAAACCGAAGGAGTGAGGTATGGCGTTATTTTGTCCTAAGTAAAGATGGTGAACAATGGGCAAAATGTAAAACATGTAATAGTGTATTCACGGCAGTTACCAAAAACGGGACGGGACACTTATCTAGACACATGAAAGCTTGTGCAAAACCAGCTAGTGATCCAACCCAGCCCAAAATTTCCCAATTCCATCCATACGGCTTTACATACAACTATGAGAGGGATAGGGATGAACTAGGAAAAATGATAGTACACGCCGAACAACCTTTTCTTTTCTCGGAAAGTGACGCATTCAACACCTACATTAACAAAGCACTACAACCCCAACATAAAAGAATCTCTAGGAAAACCGTTCGTTCCGCCGCAATGAAAAATTTCCTAGAGTACAAAGTCCGGTTACAAGCCGAATTGAGTAACCTTAACTGTAGAGTATCTTTAACAGCCGATTCTTGGGATAGTGGTTATAAATATCACTATTTATGTGTGACTTGCCATTGGGTAGATGATCAATGGATGTTACAAAAAAGAATAATACATTTCAAAATGCTGGAATACCCACACACCGGCATTAACATTGCTCACCATTTAATGCAAGCAATAGACGAATACAACCTTCGAGATAAAATGATGTCTATGACTTTTGATAATGCAACCTCTATGACATACACAACTAATCTTATCAAACAAAACTTAACCGATGTACTATTAGACGGTGAAGCTCTTCATACTAGATGTGTTTGCCATGTACTTAACTTATGTGTACAGGATGGAGTTCGGGCAATTGTCCCATACTACAGCAAAATCAGAGATGCTATTATGTCTATTAATAGCTCTAACATGAGATACCAAGAATGGAAGAGATATCTAAAACAACAAAAGATAAGGGTAATAAAAATTAGAACCGATTGCCCAACTAGGTGGAATTCCACCTATGACATGTTAACAAAGGCAATTGAGCACAAGGGCCCGTTAACATTATTTTACAACCAAAAATTTCCACAAAATGCTTTGTATGATGATGATTGGAATAACTGTGAAAGATATATGCAATTTTTACAGTTATTATATAACATGACGTATTGTTTTTCTACTGTTTACAATCCTTGTGCTCAAAACTTTCTTTCTAATGCATGCTTACTCGCCCAACTTTTCGCTGATCATCGCCATCAAAGTGATTATGATCAGTATCTTCCAGCAATGGAAAAAAAGTGGCGTAAATATTATAGTGAGATTCCTTTGATTTATATTTTTGCTTCCATATTAGATCCTAGGCAAAAGTATGAAAACACATTTATGTTAGTTGACATTTACTTTCAATGCATGTTTCTTGACGATGATGTAGAAAACTATAAGACTAATGTGAAGGATCAGTTTTTTGCTTTATATAGAGTCTATGAAGCCAAATATGGCACCGTTCCTCGCTCAGGGCCTTCCCAACCATCCAAAAACGTAAGTAAGAAGGCCAAACATTTATTTTCACAAGCTACTAACTTGATTTCAAGGTTTTCAGGTGATTCATCAATCAGAAGAACGCAAAGCGACGTCTCGGAGTTGCAGATGTACCTGAGTTACGACTTCACCAAAGGCATGGACGACGATGAGATAAACAGCCTCGACCTCCTTGCATGGTGGAAACAACAAAGCTCGAAGCATCCAACTTTGGCGGCAATGGCACGAGACATTCTTGCTATCCAAGTTTCCTCCGTCGCCTCCGAACGAGCTTTCAGCGCATCCGGAAGGGTTTTAGACGATAGAAGAACAAGTCTAAAACCCGAAACACTAGAAATGTGCGTGTGTTTCAAAGATTGGTTGGATGCGGAAAATCGCTCACAAGACCGTTCTTACGACCACAACGACAACGAAGAAGGAACCTCCGCTTCCGGTTCGGGTTCGGCTAGTTCCCAATCTATGCAACTAGCCGATGACCTTGAAGGCGAAGGCGAAGACGAAGACGAGCAAGAAGAAGGAGAAGAAGAATAGACAATTATTGTATATTGTACGATTTTAAAAATATCAATTTTATCATTTTCCAATTTTTGTTTAATACCATCATTGTATGATTTTTATCATTGTTATCATTGTACAATTTTCTCAACTCAAGTAATAATAATATAAAGTACGCATTATTCACATCCAAAGTCCAATTTGCCTTTTTTCTCCGTTTTGTTACAATTTGTAAATTCATATTAAAAAAAAATAAAATTATACCAATTACTAATAAATCATAAACATTAAATTTTAAAGTAATAGTATAAAGTAAATATATAAATATAAATATTGAATATACAAATTATAAAACATAAATATTCAACTTATAATTATAAAATTCATAACTTAATAACTTATAACTTATAAGTTATAAACTTATAAGTTATAACCTTATAAAACTTATAATTATAATTTTATAACTTATATACATTATAATGTTGTATTAAAAAAAGAAAAAAAAAAAAAAAAAAAAAACATTATTTGAAAACTGCACCAGCCCACTGCCAGCCCGCAGGCCGGCACGTGGCCGGCACGGCACGAGCCCGCCAGGCACGGCCCGCGGAGGCCCGGCCCGGCATGGTGCCCAGGTCCTACCTCTCTGAGTTATTTCATTGAAGCGCACTCTACGTTCTCCATTGAAGCGTTCTCCGTTGAATCTAATTCTTGTATCCCCCATTGAAGCAGCTTCTAAGGTAAGTTGTTTGTTGTTGTTATCATCACATCAATTTCACAATCTAGGGTTTATATTGGATCAAATCTAATTTAATTATCAGTGCTTTAAGTTTAGGGTTCGTAAATTCTTAGATTATGAAACATCATATCCAAAAGAAAAGAAAATTATGAGCGTAATTTGATTATTGAATCAAATATCCCTAAAATTATGTATTTTTCGAGATAATTCAATATGAAATTAAATCTCTTTTCTCTGGGCCTAGGGCGGCCGCCCCTCCTGCCCTGCCTCAGGGACTGGCCTGTTCTCCAGTTCTCCTATATGCTATTTGAATTGTAGTTGTGTTGAATACTTGAGTTGTTGATTACTTGATTTATAATTGCAATTTGATATGTTGTTTGTTAATTTATATGCTTGCTGACTGATGTGTTGCTCATAATTTGCGTTTGTTTCAATTGTAAATTCTTTAACTAACTGATAAAACCAATGATGTGACTCATTCTTTTCTATGTGAAATCCATTGTATTAAATTATGAGTTATCCATGGGTTACAACTTATTCAATTAATTTTTACAATTCAGGTCTATGGATTCTGCAGACACTCTTCTTTGTTTCACAGAGTCTCTTAAAGCCTTCTTAGATAAAGATAATTTTAATGGTGCTCTACAGTTTGTCGTAGACCACATCTTTCGATGCATGGAAGAAAATGGTGAGGCGACTAAGGGAACAAGTCTTGTTGTTGTCCTGAATACTGTTGCCTCTGATTTTCCAAAGTTGAACCTACCCTCAAATCCGTTGCATAGACTAGAGTGTTTGGTCAACAACCTGCTTTCAAATGGCATGGTAGTAGATGCCCTAAAGCTCACTAGTGCACCGTATCCGTCTGCGTTAACTGTTCCTGTTTTGGAGCTCAAGCTGAGAATAATTTTCCATGAACAAAATATGGAGGGTAATTACTATTACTAACTTTTGTTTTTTTATTATTTTTCTAAATTATTATTGATTTTTTGATTTGTTTATTTTATTTTATAGAGTTTTGGAAGATTTTTCGGGCTTGGGAAGTCCACAACATGTATGCATATGCAGAAACTACACTTATTTTGGGGTAAGATTTCCCCCTCCCTCTACGATATTCTTTATGGGGTCAAGGACTTTGTTTTTGTTTTTTGAATTAAGCTTTCTTGAAACCTTTAGTCAGCATATGCATTCACGACATCAATGAAAGAAATTAAGAAAAAAAAAGTTTATGATCTTTGTTTTAAATTGGAAAATTACACTAATATGAACGATGATTCCACTTTTGGTTCATGTTAGCCGACCCCACTTATGGGACTAAGGCTTTGATTGATTGATTCCCAAACTTGCCCTTCTCCCCACTATTCAGCTCCTAGATTGTGTTTTCTGTTTTCTGTTTTATTTATTTATTTATTTCTTTAGGACGAGCTTTATGAATTTAGAAGATGAAGGATATCTGGAGAAGTCTATTGACTATTTTAGCAAAGGGATTTCTATGGCTAAAATTCATGAACAACAATCTTTGTTAGAAAAATTGGAACAGCAGCTATGTGAGGCAGAAAAAAAGAAGGTTAAATTTCAGCAAGCTTTCGAGGAAGCAAATAGACATGGTACTATCTCAATCTATGAAAATAAACAACAATAGAGCTGTCAGTTTTATCTCGTTCAAAATTGCTTGATTTGACTGAAACTGTAACTCACCGAACTGAAAATCAACTCGTAGTTCTAAAAGTGTGCGCCTAGGCACAAGGTGAAGATACCTAGACAAAGCGTAGGAATTTCGTGTGTCGTTTTCTGCACTTTTTGGGAATGTTGCTAGATTTGAGCGATAAAGTGAAAAATTATCAAGATTTCTATCGTGGCTTTACATATTTATTTCATACAAAACCCCCAACTTAATTGCATTGAAGCCTCAATTAAAAATCCCCAATTTGGGTGAAACCCTGAATAAAGTTGGGTGGCAAACTTCCAAATCAACAGTCGTGCACCATCGAATTTCTGATGCTCGTGTCTTGAATTTGGAAGTTGTATGTTTAAAGATGTTGCTCCTTGTTTTGCTTCAACTTCTATGATTAATAGTACTAGTTGCTTTCTAATTTCTTCACGGTTTCTAAACATAACCTTACTTTACTTTAAATGTAATCCAAAATTTCAATTACCCCTGTAATAAGGATTTTGTTAGACTTTTTCTCTCTATTCCTCCCCCAAACCCTTCTCTTTGGGGTTAACTTTCATCAAATTTAAACGTCAGTTCTCATCATTCAACTATCAATCTTATTCCCTTACTATCAATTTTCACTTGTTTTAATCAGAAAAGGGTGAGTTGGGGATCCTAATTTGCGTTGAATCTTGCCCATTGAAGTTTTTGAATTTGTGAAATACTGCTACCTTTTATTATGGTAATTGAATTGGATAACCTTGTTCGCATTTAGGAATCAAAGATTCAAATTTAGGGGATTCAAATCTTGGCATTGCAGATTTCTTTGTGTTCGTAGTTGTGATAAAGTCACTTGTTCTACTTCATATAATTGAGTTAAATTATGTTGTGTCAATTCATGTAGATGGGCTAAAATAGTTATGTGAAATCACTTAACTGCTATGAAATGGAGCTGCTTTTTCATATAATTTGATCGGAGTTTCTTGCTATTTCTTTTGGCCCATGTGAAGTACTAATTTTATTTCATATGTGCTGTATGAAGTTGTGAATGTTGGTTGAACGTGAATCCCTTTTCTAAAGAGGTTTTACAAGTTTCTTTTTTTTTTAAATAACAATTGTATTTTAGACATTTTAAATGAACAATATCTAAAATTTTCGGGAATACTAATCTTGTTTGTTTTGTGATCGTGAAAATAGAAAGAGAACTCTTGGATGAAGAGGCCAGGATCGCGGCGGAGGCGGGAAAAAGGGAGAAGAAACGAGAAAAGAAACGAGAAAAGAGGAAAGGAAAACAAGTTGCTGAAGGGTCCAAGAAAGCTGTGGAGACCAAAGATGAGGGGACCAAAGATGAGGGGACCAAAGATGAAGGGACCAAAGATGAGGAGACCAAAGATGAGGGGACCAAAGATGAGGGGGGTACAGGGGAAATCATACCTTTGGTTGAGGAAAGAAGACCTCGGAATGTAAGTTGGTTTATTTGGCAATATTTTAGTATAGGAAAATTAAACTAGTTAGAACTAACATGTTTTTGAACAACACTATTTGCAGTTCGAGATTCCTTTTTCTGTTACTATGGAGTCAGCTGAAGATTCTTTTGTAGGGTGTATAAGGACTAACACCACTGGAGTCCAAAAATCATTTATTGTAGTTGACCAATCACAGATAAACTACTTTCAGGATCTTGTTTATCTATGTCTCAGGCATGAGACTCTGTTGAAGGTTGACCAAAGTTTTATGGATGAAGGTAGATATTTTCTTGTGACAAGTGAGAATGTATGCACCATTTACTGCTTTTTTAAGCGTAAACTTTGCATAATTTCTCCTGAATCAAATAAAGTATGGTGGAATGCTATAAAAGATTCATTTTGGAAAGTATTCAGGTATGAAGTAATAATGTGTTAAATTGTTTTTGAGATATTCTGTTTGTTATGGGTGTTTTACAGCTTAACCTTATTTTCTTTTGTTTATTAAAAACTAGAGGCGTGATTCGAGGGTTGATGTATTTGTTCGACAAAGACAAAGCCTGCGGGAATTTAGTGTTTAATTCTGTTGTCAATTCTGAAGGGGAAGGCAGAATTCTGCCATATATGGCTTCGGGGAAACAAAAACAGGACTTGGTACAGCTAGTAGATTTAATGCAGAGTGTTATCAAACTTGCTGTTCCCGACCAAAGCGATATTTCTTTTCTTCCCGATCATTTGAAACAGTTTTTTGACAATGTCACACAATTTCATGGGTAAGTTTTTATGCATCTAGAAGCTTAAAATCCTGGTAGTTTGTCCGTCTTTTTTCTGCATTTTGGTTTAAGATTTGTATTTTTTTTTTATAATGTACTCTTTTTTTCCATAGGTCCTGTCCATTGGAGATTGTTATTGATCACCCGTATTTTTGGAATACGGCGGAAAAAATCAGCTTTACCTTCAAATTGAGAGAGTTGGTTAAGCAGAATCCTAATCCTTTTTTATTGTATCTTAATAAAAATGAATTATACCAAGACTGGTGGGATAGTCTTCAACATGTATATAAAAAACTTTTTGAAAATGCGAAAAAGCGCAAGAGGATTATCAAAGCATACCGGAATGCTATTGATATTGTCCGATTTTATGGAGCAGTTTATACTCATATAAATGAGTTGGAGTACAAACAAGATCGAAATAACAAGGTTTGAGCATCTTTTGTTTTAATTTGCTATACATCCCAATGCCTTAACCTTTTATCTGACATTTTTTCATTTTTTTTTTGGTAGAGATTTAGTGATGAAAAGATCGAGTCAGATTTGGCAGGTTTTTTTCCAGATTTTTATGTAGACATGTTTTCGGTCTTGTGCTCGTGCTACCAGAATAATGTGTAAGCGACAACTTGATTTTGTTTAAAAAGTTCCACAGTTGACAGATTCTAATTTGTACTTTTTACATCTTGTGTTAGGGTCATAACCAATGACAGTCTGAGGGGTTTATCCACGGTTCATTCTTTCAGTGAGTTTTTTAAATTATAGTCACTATCAGCAAAAGCCTATTTTGCCTCTCTCACCTTTCTTTTTCTGTCTGTCGCTCGCAGGAGGGAAGTAAAAGGAGCAGGATTCTGCCACGAGTGGTGAGTTATTCTTGTACTCCCAAGGTTATTTGAATTGATAGTTGATGATAAGAGGATGGATAGTTAGCAAGTGCAGGTCTAGCTATAGTTTAATGCACAATTATTTATGTGCTTCTCACTGGTTTTGTTCTTTGATTAATATTAGTTCTAAATTTTCTTTGATTGAAAGTGGAACAGTGTTGGACTGTCTTTAATTAAAAATTTCGAGCTAAATATGTTTGTCATTTGCAATAATTTAGCATGAAGATTGTTGTTAATAGGGCTGAGCAAAACTATCTGATAATCCGAAAATCCGATCCGCATCCGATCCGAAACTTTAGGATATCCGACGAAATTTTCGGATATCGGATATCGAAAATTCCGATTTCGGATATCCGAATATTCGAAAAAAAGTCGGATATCGGATATCGGATTGGATTACACTTTTTTTTTTAACTTTTTCAAATATTTTCAATTTTTCAGAGTTTTGGTCTTTTGGAATATTAGATGCCCTAAATGGGCTAAATCCCTAATACCCTAAAACAAAATCCGCCTCTTTCAGTTTTTCACACTCTTTCATCTCCCTCCTCTCTGCTCAGTCCTCTCTCATAGCCTCATCCAGATCTGAGATCTTCTTCGCCTCGCTTCTCAGATTCCTCTTCTCTTTGTCGCCCGTCACTCCTCCACCAATCTCACTCCTCCACCAGGCACCACTGCACCAGCCGCAACTCCACTCACTGCTCCACTTGCGTGAATTCTTTTTAAGCTTAAAGTTATGTGAATTTTCGAATTAATTATCCCTTTTAATTACTCATAAAACCTATATTAGTATATTTGAATTGAATGTTATTGTTTGATTAATTTCAATTCAAAATGGATGATTAAAAACCAAGAAAATTGGGTTCATGAATTACTTGGAAATAATTTCAAACTAATTAATTTATGATTGTTACATAACTTGCGATTTTTACATGATGTTCAAACTAATAATTTCAAATTAATTAAGAAACAAAAGTGGTGATTGCTAATTGTTACATATTTTCAGCTATTGTGTTTGTTTAAGTCGGATTTTGCGGATGATTTATTTTCTTTTATGTTTGTTTTATCTATTTTTGTGCATGCAAAATTTGTAACCGATGTGACTGAACTGCAAATTTATAATAATTCTTGGCACATGAGCATAGACTGGAAAACATTTGTGAGATTTCTGGGCTTAATTAGATGAGGTGTCAACAAAAAATGAACAAAAGTGTATTGAGTTTACTCTGTGTGTAGAAATCAGTCAACAAAAGTGTATGGAAACCAGTGTATCTCACCAATTTTGGAAAATGATTTTTTTTTTTTTCTCCGAAGTGTAACATTGAGTGTATGTTCCTGTTGTAGAACTATTGAGTATCCAAAAATGGGTACTTTTCATGAAATGTGGAGTTTAAAACATTACTTAAAAATAGCTATTCAGAAGCACCAGCCACCAGGCATACTCTGCTGTGTCCAGAGTCAATTAGAACCACCTGTACATATAACGTCCAATGTATAACTCAACAGTCATCTGAATTAGTAAATTAATGGGTTTTATCTTTTGGTTGGATGTAAATCTGGTCATCTTAATTCAAGTTTCAGTTCTGAGAATGAAAAAATCTGAGAAACTACAAGTTTAAATTTGATTTGATTTGAATTCAATTTGATTTTTATCTTGGGCATTGCCTAAGCATTGCTGGACTTTAAATTGATGCCCATGCTGTGCTAATTGGTAAGTTTTATTGACAATGATAAGTTGGTTGTATAAAAACTTCCTTTTTTCTGTTAAAAACTCCTTTTCTAGATAGAGATCCTGTTGTTTACATGGCCCTTGATAGAGTGTAACTATAATCTAATTTGAAATACTGCAGGAAGCTGTTGCTGTGACAACTGCAATCCAAGAGGAGATATTCTTAGAAATAGGTGTTGGTTAGTTTCTTTATAATCATTTACTCTGTTGGTTTCACCAGCTTTTTGCATTCTTCCCACATATTTGTGATATTAACCTATGAGGGGTGAACTAACTATGTCAATAAATCTGCACTCTTGTGCAGTTGTGCTAGTTCTATACATTGACCTTAGCTGTGATTTGTTAGGAGAAAGGATTTAAATAAGCCATAAATGTTAATATTAGATAATCAGAATGGTCTATTGCTATGATTTCTGTATGCTGTTTCACTTAGCTATTTTTTAAGCTATTTGCTTTGAGCTTTCACAATTTATTGCTAGTGTTAGGCGCTTTTTTGCATAGGATTATCATTGAAGCTTTTTTTTTTTTGGAAATAAACCTAATTGAGCCTCATTTCTTGCAGTTTGTGGTTTAAAAATAGACTTATCTATGTCCTTCGGCATTTGAAGGTAATACTTTTTTTAGTTTGAATATTTAGAAATTATAGTTTAATTTTTGCTGTTTTTTTTTTCTTCTTATGATTAACTAATATATTGTCATTTTATATTTTGTAGGGTTGTTGACTTGCCGTACACTCGTACTTTGTTGATCCGTTATTGGTATCTGGCGTTGAGGACTTATTTAGTGTTTGATAAAATGTTTATGCACCGTTAACAATTGGACATTAATGTTTTTGGACTTCAAATTTTCTTATGTAATTTGTACTTTGTTGCAATTAGCCAATTAGTTTGTATATTGAAGGTTGTGTATAATTTTATTATGTAATATGAAAATTAGTTGTTGGACAATAATTTTAGGTTTATTTTATCTCTCTTTGTTTAGGTTATGAATTAATTGTCTACATAGTAAAAAAGGTTCAACAAGACACTAAAAGGGTGAAAAAAAAAATCAATTTTACCTTACAAAAAACCTGCAATTAAAGAACTCGGATATAGGATATTCGATTTATCCGATCCGAAAATTTCAGATATCCGGATTTTCGGATATCCGATATTTTCGGATCGGATATGGATATCAAATATCCGGATTTTCGGATACGGATATCCGATTCGAAATTCAGTTTCGGAAGTTGTTAACAAATGTAAGCGGTGTATCAAAATTATTAGTATTACCTATAATATAAACAGGAACATTATAATGTTTTACATTTTTGCATTGAGCGCGTTGGGCACGAAAAATTTTGATAGTTATTTTTGCGTTACTCTTAATTTGCAACAAAGCTGTAGTTTATGTTTGCATACACTCCTGTAAGAGGAGAGATAGTGGAGTCTTTGAATATTAAAGAATTTGAAAAATTAAGCCCTTATCTTGGATTTCCATTGCTTGATGACTTGATGGTAGAACTACCAAATCTAAAGTGCAGTTCTTTGTTGATAAGGTTAAACAGAAGCTGGGTTGGAAAGCTGCTTGTCTTTCTAGGGTTGACTTACTCTTCTCAAGTCTACTTTAAACACCATTCCCAACTATTTCATGCAGCTATTGTAGCTATTGTGGCTTCCTGCTTCTTCCAAAAAGGAGAGTAATAGATTAATGGCTAACTTTTTGTGGGGGAAGAATGAGGAAAAACAGAGAATCACTTAGTTGGAAGAGAATTAGTACCCCCACTACTAGAGGAGGTTTGGGCGTGAGATGTTTGGATTCATGGAAAGAGGGGACAACTTGGCAGCTAGATTTTGAAATCTGATTGGTCTTACAAGGCCTTTTCAAATGGCTCACATATTTGGAGAGGTATGGGTAGAATGTGGGAGAGCTACCTTTCAACAATCTGCTGGAAAGTAGGTAATGGAGATAGAACTTTTGTGTGGACTGATAAGTGGCTCAATGGGAATTCACTTACGGCAATTTTGGCAGGCCCACTGTTACAACATGATTCTACCTTAACTGTGAAGGGTTGTATTACCTCAAACTGCTGATATGATAACATGAGTTCATATCCCTTAGCTCCTGATATCATGTTGCAGTGTAAGGCTAATATGGATATGGGAATGTTGGATGATTTTAGCTATTCCAGTTTAACTATAGATGGAAAATTTACTTTCCATTCAGCTTTTCCGCTTCTAAACTCCAAATTTAGTGATGCTAAGGATATCTCTTGGATATGGAAACTTCATTGTGCCCCTATAATTAATCTTTTCACTTGGCTTGCAGTGTTGGATAGACACCCTACTTGTAAAATTCTCTATTAGAGGGGTATAACATCTTCTGAAACTTGTGCCCTATGCCCTGGCGTGACTGAAAATGCAGAGCATGTTCTCAGATCCTGCATTAGAGCTAAGGCTTTCTGGTCTTTAACCTTTCATACTGCAAATCCTTCTTTCCTTCACTCCCCACTAGTAGAGTGGTTGTTTTTTAACTCTAAACCTACACACATCTACCCAAATCAACATCATCTCACCCTGCTTCCCTGGCATATTTTCTTCCCCTATGCTTTGTGGTCTCTTTGGCTTCAAAGGAACGATGTAATCTTCTCTAATTTACACAAAAATCTTGAAATGTGTCTTCACAAAGCTCAAGCTCTCGCTTGAGAATTTTTCTCCTGCCAAGACCAACCTTTTACTCTCTCTTTGTCTCCATCATCCCCCACTATTCGCTGGCAGCCCCCCCTCCAGGTTTCTTGAAGTTGAATGTGGATACTTCCTTTGTGGAGTCTACTAAACCTACTGGAATTGTTGAGATTCTCAGAAATGAGCAAGGATTTTGGATAAATGGTTTTTATAGAACTTGTTATGCTAATTCTGCATTATGTGCTTAACTTTTATGTATCATGGAAGGCCTAAAACTATTAGAAGCCAAACAGTTGTTTGATTTGTGTCATGTTACAATTGTTACTGATTGTCAGAGCTACATTATTACTACTTCAAGATTTTAGTGTGAAAGAACTTCATTCAAATATTGTGAAATATTGCAGGGAACTACTTCAACAGATGCAACAAGTGAAGATAGTGTTTAGTAGAAGAGAGGAGAACAAGCCTGCTGATTGATTGGCAAAGCATTGTAGGAAGAATTATCATAATGTAGGAACTTGTGTAATAATAGATAATTCACCAGCTGAGATTATCCATATAATTCAATAGGATTACCCTCTTCACTGTTATACTTAAGACTCTTTGTTTAATCTAAAATTTCCTGCTTAGCATAAAAAAAAATACTATCTGACTGATTTTGAACTGTGATTCCTGCTGAACATTTGGTTGATTATGGGTCTGAAATCATTCCGGTTTCATATCGTTATGTTAGCCGGCCAATCACCTAAGAAAAACTGCCACATGACAGGAGTGGCTGGCTATGACTCCTGCCGTCCTGGAGTCTTGGCACCTTAATTATACCAAAGAGAAGAAAACCATTACCACTTATTTTCTTAATACTTTATGCTAAAGCCACACATAATCCATGTTTACTTCTTGCAAACATGTTAAAAAAAATTCGTCACACATCACAATTTATGGCAAGATAGTTTAGCAGCACTAAAAATATAATGTTGACTTTCCATGTATGTTTATTATCACAAAACTTAATCTTTAACAAATGAAAATATGTTTGAATATAAGCAACGACACTTTAATAAAACTGAACATACTACCCAACTACTATATTATTGCATGACATGTTTACTTGCAGTGCAACAGTAACAAGCATAACATTCACACTGACAAAAAATGGCATTACAAATCAAACTGCGATGTAAGAAAAAGATAGATGAGACTTTTTACACTCAAACTGCGATGATATAGCCAATAAAATGTACTATCCTCCTCCTTGGGCCTGGAAAGGCTGGATTAGGACCTGGAATTTGACAGCACAATGAATCATGAAAATCGAGGATTCGAGTTTGAGTAAGATTTCTACATATATTCGAAATGGCAATAATCAAATTTTAAATTTCCCTCCATTTCTAATATTTTCCCTACACTAAATAATATGTAGTCAAATTTGACAATTTTTAATTTTATTAATAAAGAATTATATGTTCCACGTTCGTTCTTGTTTAGCATATATCAAATGTGTATTGTTGTAATATTATTATTGTCATTTTCTGTTAGTATCTACAGCTAATATATGATAAGATTTACCTGAAACTCTGCAATTATCTATGGCTCATACTTGTACGCTTCAACTCGCCTCTATGAGTTGTCAGCGCATCAAATACTTCCCCATCATACATAGATCTTTCATCTTCCTCGTCTATAACACTGAGCTCCGGTTCCTGCTTTTGCATCAAACGAGTATCTTACAAATCATACAGTGTAAATTATAAGGGAATGTAAAACATGAAAGTAACTGTTGAGGTTAATTCAACAAATTAGTGGAAATTTTGAGTTCTTTCTTTAGGGAATTTCTTAGCTAAATTGACTTCAAGAAAAAATGGATGAAACCATGTGAAAACAGACTACAGAATAGTTTAAGCAAAATAGACCTAGAACATTTTGCACTACATTTGTTCATACAATATTTTATTTTGTAATCCTCTGATTTAGCGAACTGAACACTACTCAAAAGAACAACATAATTGCTTTCTTCAAACCAATATATGAAATAGTACACAATTCCATAGGCCACATTAAGATACTACAAAGTAAATACTAGTATAGTAGTATATGTTAATCAAGGATTTGTGTAGCCTAATCATCATGTGGTGCTCCCAATAACACTATTTGCATGAATCTCGATATGAATATGCATATCATTTGAATTCTGATTTGAACTTGACTCTTATCAGACAATTGCTTATAGACAAACTGCGTGTATGGCTAGTATTATCATTTGGAGCACAATACTCAGGTGTAAGATATAATTTACGCATGTTAACCCACCTCAAGCCGGTAGTTAGAAGCTAGACAGTCGATTAGCTACACAATCTCTGTAACTACTTCATGATGCAAAATCTAGAGATAAAGCAGTTCTCAGCAGATAGAAACCGTTTGTATAGTCTACAGATTGCATTTCATCACAAGTATTTCTAGGAACTTCTCTAGTGTAGCAGTAAAGAGTAGGAAAATAGAAACTAACCACTGTTGGCATGTCTGTTTCCGGAGAGCAAATTATCTCCTGATATTCGGCTAAACAATCCTGCAAAATTAAAGATATAAAGATTGCAGATCATTAGTTCCAACATCCATATATTGAGGAAGATGCCATGTTGATATTGCAAGACAAAACTCATATTCATTTCCTCTCAGAGTACAGATAACCTATTGATCAAACAAAATATTTCTTTCTGGATTTCAACTTAGAATGATAAAGCATACTTTTATGGAAACGTTTAGTCTTTCTCCACTGTTCACGGGCATCCAAGGTGCTCCAATGACTTCTTCATACTCAGCGGCATCAAGTTCTTGAAGATACTCAGAAGGAAATAGCTTGGGGAGCATGTATTCTCTAATAGGTATTAGGAAGAAGAATGGCATAGGGAAAAAAAAATCCCTACTATTGGTATCCATGTCACTCCAAAGCAGAATAGGAAATATACTAATTGGAACACTGTAGATGTCATGGTGTACTTTAATGGCACTGATTCCAAATATGAACCATGGTTGTCTTCTAAGACTCTGCAAGATATCATTTGATAGAAGAATATACACACAAATATTTTTGTTAGTGACTTAGTGTGAAGATTTTGAATATTCAAAATGTTATAAGATCAAGCTTTGGTAATGGATTAAAACCTACAATCATATTCTACATGAGGCCAAAACTGGAAAAGGCTAAAATGGATTCAACTCAGAAATTGAAACACCATACTTTTATTGAGGAGGTTAACTTACTTGTATCGACGTTTTCGGGCAACCAATAGGAGTGATAACCT